ACTGATATTGCAAATTGCATTATTTTATTATTTTATGGCTGAGTAGTATTCCATTGTACAAATACATCACAGCTTCTTTTACTAGTCATCTGTTGATGGACATTTAAGTTGTTTCCATGTCTTAGCTATTGTATATAGTGCTGCTATGAACATTGGGGTGGACATATCTTTTCAAATCAGAGTTCCCTCTGGATATATGCTGAGTGGGATTGCTGGATCACAGGGTAAGTCTATGTTTAGTTTTTTGAGGAATCTCCATACTGTTTTCCATAATGGCAGCAGCAAACTACATTCCCACCAACAGTGTAGGACGGGCTCCTGCGCTTTGCGCGTGCGTGTACGCGTACGCACATACGCCCCTGCCCCTCCCACCGGTAGCGGGAACACTTGGGGATGGGGCTCCCATACTACGAAACACGGCCAATGCCACCGAGAGGGGCCGAGCACCACCATCCGAGGCCGGGCCGTGAGACGGTAGGGCTTGTCCACCCCTTGGCCGAGGACTGCACAGTAGAATTCTCACCCCCAATGCCACACCACCCAGACACCGACTGGGTAACAATGCACCTGGGCCTAACACTAAAACTTGCCGTGTACCTGAATAGAGCCCTAATTTCAAACCTAGCCTTAAAACTAAATACAGCCCTACCCGTGGACCTAGAACACTGAACCTAGCCTTAAGTCTGAACCTAGCCCTACTGTGTAACATAGACATAACACTGCACCTAGCCCTAATCCTTAACGTAGCCCTAACCTGCACCTCTCCCTATCCCTGAATCTAGCCGTAACAGCGCATCTATTCTGAACCTTCCACTTAGCCCTAAACTTGCACTTAGCCCTGACAATGGACCTAGCCCAAACTGAAAATAACCCTACGTCTGATCATAGCCCTAATCCTGAACCTAACCCTAACCGTGGAACTAGCCCTAACCCTGAACATAGCCCTAAACCTTCCCATAGCAATACCCCTGCTCCTCGCCCTACCCTCAACCTAGCCGTAACCCTGAACCTAGCCGCAACCGTGCACCAAGCCCTGAACATGAACCTAGCACTAACCCGAACAGAGCCCTAGCCCTGAACCTTGTCGGTACACGGAAAGTAGCCGTAACCTTGAACCGAGCCCTCACCCGAATCTAACTCTAACCCTGAAACTAGACCCAACCCTGAATCTAGACCTAAACCTGAAACAAAGTCTTATCCTCAACTTAGCCATAAACCTGAAACAAGCCCTAATCCTGCACACAGCCCTCACATTGAAACTAGCCCTAAACCTGCACCTAGCCTTAACCCTGAACCTAGCCTTAAATGTGAACCTAGCCCTAAACCTTCACCTAGCCCTAACAAAGAATCTAGACCTAACCGTACAACTAGCCATAACCCTACACCTAACCTCACCTTAAAACTTGCCCTAACACTGCACTTAAACCTACCCCTGAACTTAGCACCAGCCCTGCAACTACACCTAATCATGGACGTAGCCATCAATCTGCACCTTGCCCTGAACCTGAACATGGCCCAGAAACTGAACGTAAACCTATCCCTGAAACTAGCCCTTACCCATAACCTAGACTTCAGTCTGCTCCTAGCCTTCACCCTCAACTATCTCTAATTTTAATCATAGCCCTAACCCTGCACCTAGCGCTAAACCAGCTCCTAGCCATATCACTGCACTTAGCCGTAACCTTCAACATAGCCTTAACCCTGCAACTAGTACTAAACCTACACCAAGCCCTCACCCTGAACCTACCCCTAACACTGACGCTAGAACAAGCACTAGCCCTAACACTGCACTAAGCATGAACCCTGAAAATCATACTAAACCTGAAATGAAACAAGCCCTAAAACATCACAAAGCCCTAAACCTGCACCTAGCCCTGAACCTACCCCTAAACTTGAACCTAGTTCTAACCCTCAAACAAGCTCTAAGCAAACCTCAAACTAGCATGAACATTGAAACAATCCGTAACCCTGAACCTAGCCCTCACCCTCAACCTAGCCCTAACACTCAACCTAGCCCTAACCCTGCTCAAAGCCCTAACCTTGAACATAGCCATAACCCTGCAAACAGACTAAACCTGCACCAAGCAGTATCTCTGAACCTAGCCCTAACCCAGCACCTAGCCCTAACCCTCAACCTAACCCTAAACCTGCATCTAGCCCTAACAAATGCTACAGGAACTCCCATAGGCAAAAAAAAGGCCACAACTAAAAACAAGACAACTATGAAATGGAAAAGCTCACTGGTAAGGCAAACATACAGACAACATAGGAAATCATGCACACACAAACTAAAAAGGAGGTTAAAAGACAAAAGTAGTAAAATCATCGATATCCACAGTAAGCAGTTAAAGGGATACACAAATAATTAAATGTAAAATATGAGATCAAAAACAGTAATCATGAGGGGAGGAAAGTACAAATGCAGGGCATTTAAACTGCATTTGAATTTAAGAGGGCAGCAACTTAAAGCAATCATTTGTCTATACACACACTGCTCTACCAAGAACTCACGCTAACCGCAAACCAAAAATACGTAACACATATACACATAGAAGGGAGAATACAAATGTTCACTAAAGATAGTCATCAGATCACAAAACAGAACAGAAAAAGGAAGCAAGACCTTAAAAACAAATTCAAAACAAATTAACAAAATGGCATAAGAATGCAATAAGAATACACCTATCAATAATTACCTTCAACATAAACAGACTGAATGCTCCAGCCGAAAGATACAGACTGGCTGAATGGATACAAAAACAAGACCTGTCCATATGTTGTCAATAGGAGACTCACTTCAGGGCTAGAGTCATACACACTGAAAGTGAGAGGGAGGAAAAAGGTATTTCATGCAAATGGAAACCTAAAGAAAGCTGGAAGAGCAATATTTACATCAGGCCAAACGCACTTTAAAGATTGTTATAAGAGACAAAGAAGGACACCACATAATGATCAAGGCTCAATCCAAGAAAAAGATGTAACAATTGTTGGTATCTATGCACCCAACATAGGTGCACCTCAATACAAAAGGCAAATGTTAACAGACAGAAAGGGAGAAGTTGACAATAACACAATATATAGGGGGGACATTAACACCCCATTCACACCAAGAGGTCACCCAGACAGAAAGTCAGTAAGGAAACACAAGCCATAAATCATACATTCGGGGCTTAACTGCTATTTGCAGAGCATTCAATTCCAAAAGCAGCAGAATAAACATTCTTTCAAGTGACATGGAACATTCTACAGCATAGATCACACCCTGGGCCAGAAAGCAAGCCTAGGCAAATTTAAGAAATCTGAAATTATATCAAGCATCGTTTCTGACCACAGTGCTATGAGATTAGAAATCAACTACAAGGGGGAAAAATGCAAAAATACAAATATGTGAGGCTAAACAACATGCTACTAAACAACCAGTGGATCACTGAAGGAATCAAAGGAAAAGATTTAAAACTACCCGAAGACAAATCAAAATAAAAACACGACAATCCAAAACTTATGAGATACACCAAAAGCTGATGTAAGAGGGAAGTTTATAGTGATACAAGTCTACATCAGGAAAGAAGAAATATATCAAATAAACAACCTAACCATATAACCTAAAGCAATTAGAGAAAGAAGACAAAACAAAACCCAAAGTTAGGGGAAAGAAAAATGTCATAAACGTCTGAGGAGAAAGAAATGAAAGAGACTTAAAAAAAATAAAGAAAAGACGAATGACACTAAAAGCTGGTTCTTTCAAAAGACAAAAAAGAACTGATAAACCTTTAGCCAGACTCATCAAGAAAAACAGGGAGAGGGCTCAAATCTATAAAATCAAAAGTGAAAACGCAGATGTTACAGCTGACACCACAGAAATACAAAGGATCGCAAGACGCTAGCTACTATGAACAACTATACGCCAATGAAATGGACAACCTAGGAGAAATGGACAAATTCTTAGAAAGGTATAATCTCCCAAGACTGAACAAGGAAACAAAATATCAACAGACAAATGACCAGTCCTGAAATTGAATCAGTAATTTAAAAACTCCCAACAAACAAACCCAGGACCAGATGGCTTCTCAAGAGAATTCTACCAAGCATTTATAGAAGTGTTAATGCCTACCCTTCTAAAACTATCCCAAAGAACTGCAGAGGAAGGAGCACATCTAAACTCACTCTATGAGGCCACCATCATCCTCATACCAAAACCGGACAAAGATATCACAAAAAAGAAAATTGTCGGCCAATACCACTTATGAATATACATACAAAAATCCTCAGCAAAAGACTAGCAAACCAGCTCCCCGATACGTTAAAATCCTGTGAGTGGGATTTATTCCAGGGATGCAAAGGTGTTTCAGTATCTGCAAACCAAACAGTGTGTGACACAAGACAAGGATACCCACTCTTGCCACTTTTATTCAACACAGTTTTGGAAGTCCTCGCCTCAGTAATCAAAGAAGAAAAGGAAGTAAGAGGGATCCAAATTGGAAAAGAATTAAAATTATCACTTTTGCAGATGACATGATCCTATACGTAGGAAATCCTAAAGATGTTACCAGCAAACTTCCAGAGCTCCTTAATAAATCCGGTAAAGTTGCAGGATACAGACAATATAGAGAAATATGTTGCCAGAATATATCAGAAGAAGAAATTAAGGGAAGAATCCCATTTAACATCTCATCAAAAAAGATAAAATAGAAATAACCCTACCTAGGGAAGCAAAAGATAGACACTCTGAAACTGTAAGACACTGATGAGAGAAACTGATGGAAAGAAATACCGAGTTCTTGACCAGGAGGAATCAATATTGTTAAAATGACCACACTATCCAAGGCAATCTGCAGATTCGATGCATTCCCTATCAAATTACCACTGGCAATTTTCACAGAAGTGGAGGAAAAAGAAATTTTAATTTGAATGGAAAAACAAAAGACTCGAATTGCAAAAATAATCTTGAGAAAGAAGAATGGAGCTGGGGGAATCACGCTCCCTGACTTCACACTATACTACAAAGCTAGAATAATCAAAACAGTGTGGCACTGGCCAAAAAACAGACAGACAGCTCAATGGAACAGCATAAAAACCCAGAAATAAACCCACGCACTTATGGGTCAATTAATCTACAACAAAGGAAGTTGCACAATTGGAGATAAGGCAGTCTCTTCAATAAGTGGTGCTTGGAAAACTTGACAGCTACATGTAAGAGAATGAAATTAGAACATTGTTTGGCACCGTGTACAAAAATAAACTCAAAATGGCTAAAGATCTAAATGTAAAACCAGATACTCTAAAACTCCTAGATAGAAACAGAGGCAGACACTCTGACATAAATCACAGCAGTATTGTTTTCAATCTGTCTCTAGAGTAATGGAAATAAAAATTAGAAACAGGCAAATGAGATTTTAATTAAACTTAAAAACTTTTGCACAGCAAAGGAAACCATAAGCAATACAAAAAGACAACCTACAGAATGGGAGAAAATATTTGCAAATGAGGAGAGTGACAAGGGCTTAATTTGCCAAATATACAAATTAGCTCATACATTTTAATATCAAAAAGAGAAAAATAAACAAACAACTCAGTCAAAAGATGAGCATAAGTCCTAAAAAACATTTCTCCAAAGACATACAGAAGGCCAACAGGCACATAAAATGATGCTCAATATAACTATTATTAACTATTAGAGAAATGCAAATCAAAACTACAATGAGGTTTCACCTCACACCAGTCAGAATGGCCATCATTAAAAATCTACAAATAATAAACACTGGAGAGAGTACGGAAAAAGAGACCCTCTTACACTGTTGTTCGGAATGTAAATTTAAGCAGCCACCATGGAAAACAGTATGGAAGTTCCTTAGTGTTACCATATGGTAAGAGGTAATAAATGATCCAGCAATCCCACTCCTGAGCATATATGAGTAGTAAACAACTAACCCAAAAAGACACATGTACCCAAATGTTCATAGCAGCACTATTTACAACAGCCAAGACATGGAAGCAACCTAAATGTCCTTCGACAAATGACTGAATGAAGAAGATGTGGTATATATGCACAATGGAATGCTATTCTGCCATTAAAAAGAACAAAATGATGCCATTTGCAGCAACATGAATGGACCTGGAAATGGTCATTCTAAGTAATGTAAGTCAGACAGAGATATACAAGTGTCAGGATATTATTTACACGTGGAATCTAGAAAAAATATGATATAAATGAACTTATTTACAAACTAGAAATAGACTCACAGACATAGAAAATAAAGTACAGTTACCACAGGGGAAGGGGGGGCAGTAACTCAGGAGTTCAGGATTAACATATATGCACTACTATATATAAAATAGATAAAAAACAAGGACCTAGCATGTAGCACAGGGAAATATATTCAACATCTTGCAATAACCTATAATGGAAAAGGATCTTAAGATGCATATATATTATAATATATATGTATAACTGTATCAGTTTGCTGTACATCTGAAACTGAGACATCACTGTAAATCAACTGTACTTCAATAAAAATTTAAAAAATAAAAAAACTTAAAAAGAGAGAAAATACAAATGAACAAATGCTCCTTTCATTAAAGTTATGAAAATATGCTCCATCTCATGATTACTCAAAAGTGAGATACTATTTTCTGTCCAAATAGGGAAAAATTTTAAAATACTACTCACATCAAATTTGACAAGGATTGGGAAAACAAGTACACTCATACACTGTTCACAAGAGTGTAAATTAATACAATCTTTTAGGAAAGAGTTTTCATTACCTACTAAAGTTTTAAAAACTACATTTCCCTTCAATCTATGCCTAGTTGTCAATGTACACACTATGGAAATACTGTAATAATGTGTATGAACCAAAGACATTCAACCCAGCATATATTTAAGGAAACTGGCAACACCATTGGTAATAGAAAATAAACTATGTTACATCAAATATTATGAAACATATTACAATTAAAAAATTGATCTATTGCACAACAACATGAATATTCTTAACACTACTTAAATACACAAAGGCTTCTCTAGGATATACTCTGAAGCAAAAAAAGCTAGAAATCCAACAGTATAATATATAAACTAATTTCAAATTCTATTATGTATGTATTTATAAAATAAATGTTTTAAAGATATGGAAAGATATAAACCATTAACAGTAAGAACATCTATGACAATTATGGAAGTAAATGAATAAAAATCTGCCTTATTTGTATTATCATTGAAATATACTTTTAAAAGATTTATTTCCTTACCTACAGTGTACCAACTCGCATCTGTTAATTTATTGATTACAGCTTCCTGATAGGCACCGTCAAGATTCTTCACTTTCACAATAGCTCCAACCCAAAGTAATAAAAAAAAAAGTTAGAAAAACTTTTAGAAGATAAATGAACAAACCAAAAGTGTCTTTTTTCCCCACTAATTGGGTACATAGTGGGTTAAGAATAAAATAACTGATCTGATTTGTGTTAATGTGCCAGCAGTTTTACTTAACACTGTTTTTGTACCATTAATGAAAAAGTTAAATAACATCTAAGTATTATTATGAAAATAGTTTTTCCAGTATTATGTCCCTGAAAGGGCCTTGGGAATTCTTGGGGGTCTGAGGAACCCTGCCTGTGAAATTTACTGTCTGAACCATATCACCACTTCTTTTTCAAGGAGGCTGGGGAAGAGTAGGAAAATATAAGAATTAATTTTGGGGTCTCCTTAAGAGTTAAACTGTACCAGGGAGTGGGAAGGAACAGACTGGGATTTCAAAAGGTAGAATAGATAAACAAGATTACACTGTAGAGCACAGGGAAATATATACAAGATCTGGTGGTAGCTCACAATGAAAAAAAATGTGACAATGAATATATGTATGTTCATGTGTAACTGAAAAATTGTGCTCTGCACTGGAATTTGACACAACATTGTAAAATGACTATAACTCAATAAAAAATGTTTTAAAAAAAAGAGTTAAACTGTACCATTAATGACAATCATTTAAAATAGTTTCATCTGATCAAGAAAATGCTGATGATTACATTCATATGGTCTTTATAACTATATCAAACTCTTAACACTTCTGCACGGCAAAGAAAATCATCAACAATTTGAAAAGGCAACCTACTGAATGGGAGAAAATTCATCAGCAAACCATGTATCTGACAAGGGGTCAAAAACCAAAATATAAAAAGAACTCATGCAATGCAACAGTGTTAAAGGAAAAAAACAGTCCAAGTGAAAAATGGACAGAGGTTCTCACATTATTTACAAAAATAACCTCCAAATGGACTAAATATAAGACTGGGCACCATAAAGCTCCTAGAAGAAAATGTACACTCTTTGACATCACTCTTAGCAATATTCTTTGGCTCTGTCTCCTAAGGCAAAGGAAACAAAGCAAAAATAAACAAATGGGACCTAATTAAACGTAAAAGCTTTTTCACAACAAAGAAAAGTTATCAACAAAATGAAAAGACAACTTACCGAATGAGAAAATATTTGCAAATGATATAACTGATGGGAGTTACTATCCAGAATATATAAACAGCTCACTCAACTCAGTATGAATAAAATAAACAACCTAATTAAAAAATGGGCAGAAGACCTGAATAAACATTTTTCCAAAGAAGAAAAGACATATAGATGGCAGACCGGTATCTGAAAGGATGCTCAACATCACTAATCATCAGGGAAATGTACATCAAACCCACAATAAGATATCTCCTAACACGTATTAAAATGGCTTATCAAAAAGACAAGAAAGTGTTGGCTGGAATGTGGAAAAAAGGAAAGCCTTGTGCACTGCTGGTGTAAGTTTAAATTGGTATAGCCACTATGGAAAACAGAATGGGGGGCCCTGAAAAATTAAAAATAGAACTAGTATATGATCCAGCAATTCCACTGCTTGGTAGTTACGCAAAGGAACTGAAAATACTAATTTGTAAAGATCTGTGCACCCCCATGTTTGCTGCAGCGTTAGGTTCAATAGTCAAGATATGAAAACAATCTAAGCATCCAATGACAGATGAACAAAGATGCCTGTGTGTGTATAATTCAGCCACAGAAAAGAATGAAACCTTGCCATTTGCAACAACATAGACCCTGAGTGCATTGTGCTGAGTGAAATAAGTCAGACAGAGAAAGACAAGTACTATACGATATCACTTACATGTGGAGTCTGAAAAATGAGGAAAAAACAAAACAAAACCAAAAATATCAAGGTTACAGATACAGAGAACAGACTGGTGGTTGCCAGAGGGGAAAGAAAGTGGGGGTGGACAAAATGGATGAAGGGGGTCAAAAGGTACAAACTTCCAGTTATAAAATAAAAAGTCACGGGGATATAATGTACAGCATGGTGACTACAGTCAGTAATATTATATTGCATATTTAAAGAGTTGCTAAGACGGTAAATCTTAAAAGTCCTTATCATTAGAAAAAAAATTTTTCAACCATGTACGGTGATGGATGTTAACTAGATGTAATGGGGTGATCCTTCTGCAATGTACACAAATACTGAATCATGTTGTACACCTGAAACTAATAATAATGCTATATGCCAATTATACATCAATAAAAATAAAAGAAAATGTATATGGTCTTTATAATGATAACAGAAACAAAATTGTTCAAAGAGACTGTCAGCACAATGCCCACAAGAGGATATGAAATTCTAGAACTTTCACTAAATGACTACAGTCAATAAATACATGGTTTAATTTTTTTATTTAATATTCATGTGGTCTAGTAGTATTTTCCTGTGACCTCACTGAAAACATATTGAGATCAGATCAGTCTTGGAGGCTTATTTCCTCTAACAGAAATATTTTATCCAAATGCTGATACTTTCTATCAGTTGACAGAAGGCTACAGAATGTACTAGGGAACAATCAAAAATCTACATACAGTCAACAAAAAAAAGTTAACTGAAAAATCTACATACCAAAAAAGTCTACAGACAAGAGAAATATGTTAACAATGTTGAGACCAAAATTTAATATACTTGCCTATGTCAAAATCCAAATGGTGTTAAGCCTTAATCACAAAAAAAATTTTAATAAAATAAGAAAAACCAAACAAGCAAAATAAATCAACTATGCCACAAAGAGGCTGGAGTAGCAGGAGAGGAAGATGGCTTGATGATACAAAGTAACTGTCTTTCCTGTCCCTTGCAACACTGAACATTTTCTGTAGTTTCTACCAGCTGGCCTGTGCCAGGTGAACAGGGTAGTCAGGCACTGAAAAGCTGTGATGGTGTTATTATTAGGCAAACACACAAAAAAGGCATGAAGAGGTATGTGTTCTGATCATCCAGAGGGCACTATGTTTAATTACAGGCTGTGAATCTACCAGAATTTTGGTTGTCATTACTGGCTCTAAAACCTTGGCCAGATAACTTTATCTCCCACCTCCCTTCAGTTTCCTCTTCCATAAGGAGATGTTATGAAGATTACACAAGACAGTATGTGTGGAGGACTCAGTACAGTCCTAGCACATACTAAGTGCAAAATGAATGGTGGCTAATGTCCAATTATACACATGCGTGTTTTTGTCTTTTTGTCCCCACAAGTGACGTACATGTGCATGTAAGATGGCACCTACAAAACAGAAGGGCAGAAAATATTTTTACATGGAGCAATTTCAAAAACTTACAAATTTTAGGCCCCCACAGTACCTACTACTTATGCAAGGTACTAATGCCCTGGGGCTCCAATTAAGTTTTTAAATCAACCACAAACCAGCAGATACACACATCTATTCTTTACAAAGTACAGCTTCATTTGGACAAGATATTTCATGCATCTGCAAATGCTTCTTCAGTTTTGTTAGCATTTCTTAAAATTCACTCAGCTAGGTCAACGTCCATTTCAGACACTCAAAACGGCCAAAGGGAATATGAAAACAAATACATGTATGTATACGCATGACAGAGACACCGTGCTGTACACCAGAAACTGACTGTACTTCAATTTAAAAAATAAATTTTAAAAATTAAAACTAAAAAAATGGCCAAAGAGCACACAGCAGCTACCCACACATTCCCTTCAGCCTGCTCCCTAGTGGGAACTAAAGCAGCGTGAACTTCATTGGCCAATGAAGAGAAACGGATGCAAAGAAATAAAACTCCATATGTATGACCTTGTTCATCACGTACAACTCGCTGACAACCCTGAAACAATTTCATATGCCAGTAGCTGCTTTAAAGAACTAAAAGGCCTGAGATTTTTTATATTTTTTTGTCTTCTCACTTTTCATATCATCATTGAACTTACGTCACTTGATCCCCAATTCATCACCTATAATTCTGGAAATTCCATCATTTGAGTATGTGAAACATGTTGAGACCAAGACAGGTGAGTAAATAGACAGCAATCAATGCTTCCTTGATGTTCATTTCATTTCTGAGCACAGGTAGGATATCAGGTTTTACTGAACACCATGTCTACTCTTTTCTATTAGTCTATTTACAGAGAATTATGTATTTATCAACTCAGTAACAAAGTAATCAATTAATTTTTAAAAGACCAAGTACAATTATTGTTTCCCATTGAAGCATTAGAATTAACAGGGAATAAATAAATGAATTACCTTTAGTGGGCCATTTATGTGGTCATCCTGAACTTCCACTATTGAAGAATCATGCCTAAATGTTACCTAGAGATTATAAAGTTTATTAGCCAACAAAAAAGAAAAAAAAAATCAAGCAACACAAGCTTATCAATGCATGAATCCATTTTTATTACAAGTAATCTAAACAAACAGCTGCCTAGTTTATACAAAATCTCAATCCCTAAGTAGATTAACTGAAAATTTTATTATTTAAACAGAAAAATTCCCAGACTAACTTACTTGGATGTTTCACATATCATATTTTATGCAATACTGTTAGTTATTAGTTTAACTGTATAATTTCTTTTCCTAAAAAAAAAAATGAGGGAAAAAGAGGTGGCAATCTTAGGCTGTTATATGAGGTACTCCACTATTTTGTGAAGCCCCAGCTCAACAACAAGCAACAGTAGCCCTCACTCAGAGAGCCTAGCATCAGGCTCAGGCATAAATATATAATCTTCACAACACCCTTATTAGGTAGGTGTAATTATTCCCATAATGTTGATAAGAAAACTGAGGGATGGAAAGGTTAAGTGACTGGCGCAGGATCACAGAACTAGGACATGGTGGAGCTGAGACTGAAACTCAGGCCATCTAGATCCAGAACTCTATATTACTACAGAAATCAGAGAACGGAATACAAGACATGAAGTAAAAATAAAGGGATAAGTTTAAATATTTAATTAGTTAGTTAAAAACACAAAACAGCTTCCTGTGTTCAGTACAGAAAAGATTGTTTTCCCTATACAAAGCAGGAGTTCTTACAGGGACTGAACCATTAACATGGTCTTATTTGATGTGCGTAGTCATTAATTTAGGTAACAGACTCACAAACCACGTATGAAAGGACAGATCCTATACTCACAGCATCACGGGCATTTCTGTTTCATACAATGGCACTGTAACACTTTATTTAAATTATGTGTTTAGATGTCTGCATCTTTCACTTAGACTTAAGCCACTTAAGGATGAAGACAAGATGTAAATACTAGAGTTTCAACACATGACATAGTGCTTAGCACGCAGTAAATGCTCAATAAGGGAAAACTGATGGGGAAGAAGTGTATCAACACATTGCTGAAAAATTTACTAACTTTGAATCATAAATAAATTAAACTGGCACAGAAATATATTACGATACTTGTTGAGAAAATCATTAGCTTTGAATTACAAGCAGATTTTCAGGGCAGCCACAAATACTAACAACAAATTTCAGACAGTCAATATTTATAAGGCACAAGGTCCTGGTTGGCACTATCAGCAGAAGCAGTAGAAACTAACAGTTCTCATCCTTTTACTGACAACAAGAAACAGCAGAGTTGCTACCTGCCATTCAGCTGGTTCACTCGTTACCCAGAGACCTTGAGCTGCAATTACCAGTCAGGACCCAGATCTAACGCAGCACGGGGCCTGGTGCAGCGCCGCTTCAGCCCACGTGGAGCACCTTTCCTCACCCACACCGAAGTGCTCACCTACAGGCCGAGCTCTGCTGAGGAAGGTCTCTACCGGAAGGGAGGGGTTTTGTCTAATTCACACAAAGATGTTACACGTGTGAGCAGTAGCTCTGTCTAGAAGAGTGAGAAAACTGATGAAAAAAAAAGCTTTCTCTTCATCTCTAAGATAGTAATGGCAAAAAACAAGTGCTCAGAGAACAGCAGCGTGTGAAGTCAGAACAGGAAATGCCACTACAAGAGCACTGGAAGATGGTCAAATCACAAACGTGCACACAGGCACCAAGCACGTGCAAACTGATGGCAGGGTGGGGCACCGGGACCGGCATCCCACAGGCTTACAGTTAATTTAAAGGCCTGATCACAATGGCTCTGTGTAAGGGAGAATCACCCAGGCAGTTTTCTTCAACATATCCACATGTAAGGAAGGAACCTAGGTGTACAACATGTGGAAAAGCTCCAAGGAGGCTCTGATACTCTCCCCTGGAAGTACATCACCTCCAAGGCCTGTTTAACTCCTGGTGTTCAAACCAATGTTTTACAGGGCATCTGCTAATCTGGAATATAAATCCCTTGGAAACAGACATCAGATTATTCTCATATCCCCATCCTCCTTCCCATCTAAGAGAGTAACCTGCACAGTTTGCCAGTCAATAAATGATTAACAAAAGAATAAAGATCTACCTTGGAATCTCTTATCTCATATTTTTCAACACTGAAAGTTTACTAAAATGTAAACAACTACATTTCTTTTTGTGCATTATCTGAGACAAAGCACAGATTTTTAGAAAGATTTTTCAAGAAAAGTAAAGGGTAAGGAATCCACAACTAGATCCACGATCATCAGTTATAAATCACATCCCAATCTCATGGTTAAACCTGTGGGGGCAGGGGTGTCTTAGAACTGAAGTGCTATGGTCATTCCCATTCTGCCACTAAATTCTAATAATGGCCCTGGGGAAATCACTAACCCTTTATGAACCTCATTTTTCTTACAATAAAATTAAGAAATTAAACCATATGACTTCTAAGTTCCTTTCCAGCTCTAAAAGGCTAATGATAC